CTCGGGTAATATAAACGTTTTGAAAACCCGTTAACATTTGGAAAAATAATTTATAGTACAAGAGAAGGAACCGTTGTACGTAAGAAAAGAGGGCCGATAACATGAATATATTAATGTGTGTGTCAAATAAAAAATTGCGAAATTTTTAAAATTCAGTGGATTTAAAAAAAAAAAGAAAGTTTCAGCTATTGTTTAAGATTAAATTATATAAGTAAATTTAAAATGTTGGTTTGATTTTTTGTATTGTGTTGCTGTAGTTTTTTGTTAACAGTGTGGAAAAATCCCTCCATGTTCAAAATATTTCTGTTAACTGAAATTTCTTGAAAAATGAAAACGTTAGATAAGCCAGGTTTCCTAAAAGTTTCTTTAGACTAGTTTTAACACCGTTAAAGATGAAACGTGTATGAATAAAGAACAAAGAATTAATTAAATACTAATTTCGTATAAATCAAACTATCGCTTTTGGACATTTTTCACCTCAACATTTGATCAATTGTTTCATAATGATGTTTTAGGAAGGTGACAATCCAACAGATCTGAGATAACAGCATACTATAACCTTACCTTTTTCACCTATTTAGCCATTTTTAAAAATTACAATTAGATTTTTAGAACAAAAGATTTCTGGGTGGACATAAACCACATTTAGGATTAATTTAGAATTAAATTCCCTCCTAATGAAATTGATTTAGTGGAATTTATTTATATATTTGATGTTTTGTTGCCTCTACCCTGGAGGGCCATTGGCAACACCTTTAAATTACACTCTGTTGTAGAGTTTTATCGTTTTTAAAAACCTTAAAGCTTTTTAACTGCACATTCACTGTCTTGTAGGTTTTCTTTTAGACTCTGTACCATGTCTAATTTTTTCCTTGTAGGTTCAAATGTAGGGCAGTCTTGAATAATGTGTTTTTTGCTTTGGACATTGCAGCTCTCGCAGGTCGGAGGATCAAGTCCTCTTAGTAGATAGGAGTGCGAGAACTCACAATGTTCAATTCGCAGTCTGCAAAGGACTGTCTCCTCTTTTCGAGATGATCGGTGAGAGGTTTCCCATTTTAAACAGTGGGGTTTAATTTATTTTAATTTGTATTTGTTCATGGAAGCAAATTTTCTATAACTTTGAGCTATTAAAATTTCTTTCTTATTTACTTAATTGTTTTATTATAAAAATGGGCATGACCTCTTTACTTTCGGGACAAATGTAAGTTCAGTGATGTTGCTCCATCATGTGTTCGGAGGACCGATCTAGAATCGTCGTAGATGATCAAAGAGCTGAACATTTCTTCTACGAAATAAAGAATTATATTTGTTTGACGTGTGGGATCACAGGTAGCGAAGGTCGGCGTCTTGGGAGCAGACTGGGATGAAGACGGAACCACAAAGAGGCAACACCAGATGACAGGGAGTGTAGTATTTCTGTTTCTGTGAAGAGTCACCCTGGCTCAGTGGGAGGACAGATTGATAACAAAGCCAGGCGCCAAGCATGTTTTTTGCCTCGCAACAGTTGTCATGGGGTCTTCGGGACTCTTCGGTACCTGTTCTTCCGTTCGTCGCTGTTTCGGGAAGATGAGTGCCGTCCGCACAATATTTGAACAATTTATAATCATAATTGTGTGTTGATGGTCGACTGTCGTGAATAATGAAGAGAAGGATGGTTGGGGTGATCAGTCAGAAATAAAATGGCAAAAATAAATAAAAATATTTATTTTATTTTTATTTATTTAATTTTAAAAAAAGTAATAAATATTATTATCTATTTTTGCCATGTTATTTCTGACTGATCACCCCAACCATCCTTCTCTCCATAATTCATAATCATATTTTTTTATAAACCTTGGTGCCTGTTTGCTCGAATAAGTCTAACTTTTTATATTATTTTAACTAACAAGATTTTTAAAAATAACAGCCAGTCATTTGCATAATATTATAAGCCGTAATGTGTGGAGGAAGGGTTCTGATTACTACACAAATTTTTAATATTTGTAGACTTATATTTTCGTAGAATCTACCATGGTTTATTTCAGTTATCTTATTTAATTTTATTATTAAATTGTATTTTCATTTTAACATTTTTAGTTTTTAGTTACTATCCTTCCTCATGCCTATAATGCCAATCCCCATCAACACGACAAATCTGCTGATTGTCAATATCTTTGAAGGTGCGGATAAACAGTTAAAGAGAAAAGAATAAAAGTTTTACAAGTATTGACAATAAATACTCTTGTTCACGAACTGGGAATGATATGTAACTAACAGGAAATTTAGAATGCTTAAAATATAATAATTTTGTCTTCAGTTTATTGAACTCCAATTGTCTCTTAAGATCTCCTTAAGAAATTTGGACCATCTAAATTAAATAACAGTCGAGTCCTTCGTTCAAAACATCGTTACATACTATTTTTAAAGACAGATTAAACAAATTCTATATGTTAATTTGTCAGTGTCTTGAGCTCGAATTGTTTCAAAACACTCATGAAATCGCATCGAATGATTTGAGCCATAAAAATCGGCAGTTCGCTCAAAAAATTGTTACATACCTTTTAGCGGGTAGGTTTACAATATTTTTCAGTATTTTGAGCTTAAATTATTTTGAAACACCGTGGTATCTCACTGAATAATTTGAACAATAAAACCTAAAAATCATTCCAGCCGTTCGCTTAAAAAATCGTTGCAACCTACTTATCAGCTGTCAACCGGAACACATAACCCTTTTAGTTGCTTCGCTTAGGTCGGGTAATTATGGCAATTGATGTTTTCCGTCCGATTTTTATAACTTTGTAAATCCATTTTTGTTTAAAATGATCTCTAGATTTTTACTCGTTTAATAAAAATTGTACTTCAAGTGCATATAAATATTTTTTTTTAAATTTGTTTTCTCTGTTATTTTATTCATCATATTTTTTTAATCTTCGAATATTAGATTAGTTTAAACCGTGTAGGTATATAATTTAAAAGTAAATAAATACATTTTTATTGAAACACTGTCTTAATCTTAACTAGTTTAAATATAGTTATAATTTTTAAAATATTATACTGATAATGTTTAGGAAAATAGTAATACTGGAGATGGGTAAAACGTTAACTGTTACTTATTAAAATTTATGATTAATTTTTAGAAGAACAAGTTGGTTGGGGATTGCTTTCAGTGAAATACAAACAAACCTTTTTAAATAACTATTAAAGTTTTAAACGAAATAAATTTTTGTTTACTTCACAGACTGTAATCCCGAAAATCCAAAATCCTGTATCCCTATATCAATATGTACTAAGATCTTTACAGTAAATCATTTCAATTACCAAACATTATTTATGTATTATGAATTATGTGTAACGACTTAAGAGATTTGAAATTGGCATAGTAACAGAATCGGTATATTATTTTATTAGCATATTAGTATCAGAATCAATTAAAACACTAAATATGAGTTGTATGTGAATGTTTATCAAATTAATACATTAATCTTACGAAGGATGGGATACTGAGGAAAGGAAAAAAATATGTACAAACATATAGATGTATTCCCATCCTTCTTTCCAATGGTTTTTTTAAAACCGCATCTCAAAAAGACCCGATCTCTGATGAAACAAGGCGATATCTAATTCATAACAACCTCATAAACAATGTAAACAATTATAAGACGAGAGATATAAACGGAACATAAAAACGATGTCTTTCTGAATCCTGATGAACCAGATAATGGGAAAGATGGATGATGTTATGGAATTACCGACATTATGGAAACACACCTGCTCTCGGCAAAGATTAGGCGAACGCAAGATGAGAATAATTGCGCTACAGCGGGAGAAGGCCTTATTAGACTTATTATACGAAACAAGTCCGGCTCATGTCTTCTTATATCCTCTTAACTACGCATAATCTAAGTCAGTGCATACTTTACGAAGAACTTATCAGTTAAATCTAAAACAAAGTTAGCTAAACAAGGTTGTTGATGATATCGTATTTTAAAAACAATACATTAAAGAGGATATCTAAATACACTAATAAATATTAAAAAAAGAAAATTAGGCCATGTACAGACTACATCGATGCATAATGCGTGTCAAGTTTTTTCCAGGCATAAATTTACTTCCATGAGTTACGAACTGAAACAGATAATATATTTTAAAAAAAATGTAGTTCTTTAGATTGGTGCAGTGCAAAATTATAATTATAAAGATTATTTTAATTTAATAAGTATAAATAACGAACTTAGTTAAGGGACTTTGGACAACAATTGTCCTTTTATTATAGTAATAATTTAATTTCTCAGCATTAGTATTAATAACAGACAATAATATCTGCGTAACAAATACACATAGGGGATCTGATATTGAAAATAAATTAATTTAACTTAATCTAATACACTTTTTCGTGGAATCGTTTAGTTTTTATTTAAAAAAAGACAAATTCAAATATTTAAATTTAAATATATTAAAATTCTAGAACTGCAATAATCTTAATGTTAAACTATAAATGGTTTGCTATATTTTTATTTATTTATTTATATGTGCAATTTATGTTTTTCATAACAAGTCCATAGTCATATGAATCTAAAATTTATTCGTGAATCATTAATAATAATTAAAAATAAAATTGTGCTTTAAGAGTGATTAATTTCTGAGAAATATTCAGAACTTGGGCGTTTTCCTCCGATATCAAAATTCATAAAAATTTCTATTCCTCTTTTTTTTTTTTTTTTTTTTTTTTTTTAAAGCTTCATTCTATGCAATTTTTGAGAAAATTTGGAAATAAATTATATTTATTTAGCCATAATAGTTTCTGGTTTATTTAATCGAAAGTTTTGTTAAGTTAAGAAGCAGAATCACATCACAAATAATAAAGGTTATCCAAACTATATCCTTCGCTCCCATAAATGAAAAGAATAGCGTTCAATGAAAAAATAAAAAACACAGTAAAAATTATTTAATTATAAAAAAATTAACATCTATGAATCTTCCTCTCTACCACTTAAACCATATACAAGTACCTAAATAATGTTATGTATGGCTTAACTGAGACGTGGGAAGAATGCTTGGACCCATCCAAAAAGAACCAAACGATGGTAGGACGCCTTGAAGAGGTGATACAGTTGCGGGAGCCCCATGAGAACAATGGAATGCAAATGGGAGTGGACCTAGTTGCGGCAATTAGCCATTGTGGGATAGATCCTTAATCAGGATCACAGATACACCAATTTATTGCCTGTCTCCCAACGCGAACACAGACTTCGCTTTATCAACCTGCTCGCCTCCCAGCTCCACTTCCTATTAAATGCTTTTCTTACTGTCCTCCGTTGAACGCAAAGGATTCTTCGATATACTCACATATTTCGAAAAATAAACCAGACTGTAGATAAGATAAAAACAGAACAAAAAATAAACTCGATAAACTTATGGTGAATTTTTTTTTTGTAAGGGTCGTATCGGAAGTATGATGGATTAGAAGTACCGTTCATAAGTCTATTCAGTCATGCTTATGATTATAATATTTTATAGTAAGATAATACATAATTATAATATATTATAGTAAGACATCTTGTATTTTATTTTGCTGACTAAAGTAGCTTTATTAAATGGGTCATTTAAATTTTTAAAAACATTCGATGTCCTACTTTTTCCAAAATTCATAGTTTTTAACAGAACAAACTTATCAAAAATCTGATAGATCTCTTGGGTTCGTTTTTGTTACCAGTCTAGTTTTTTTTTTAATGATAAATAAAACAAGATTTGAAAATAGAAAAAAATATTTATCAAGATAAGGCAAGAAGACATTGCGGTGGTTAAAATTTCAATTTTAACATTAAATTTTAGCATGACAAATTACTATTAAACACCCAGTTGGTACATTTATTTTGAAGTGATCTATATACCGGCATGAAAAACCAACTACAATCATTTCAAAGTTAATATTAAATTAAGATGATAAAAGATAAACTTTCATAAAATGATAAATTACAGAATAGAAGCGGGAATGAACACCTGGCTTTAAGGTTATGAATGAATAATTTGTGAACCTCTGAAGAAAATATTAATTAAAGCGTTGTTGCTAATTATTTAAAATCCAAGAAATAAAAAGTAATATTTTTTTTCTCAAATATTTTATTTCCACATGTAAAAATATTACAATCAGTAGATGAGCTGTTGTACATCATTCGATGGCATGAGGAACTAGCGATGTATCCTCTTGACATTCAACGAAATTTTTTTTATTGTTACACTAGGAGGTCTCTTATCCAGCTCATTTTCAGCCTTCGCCGAGGCACTTCAGTTGTTCCATGTTGTATACATTTGCTTATATGCCCATGTAATTTGTCGTGAAACCGTTTGTAATTCATGTGAATGTGATTTGTAGCAGTTTGTTGCAGTAGTTGTTCGAAATATGGAGTGGTGCATTCGTCATCAGTCTTAAAAATTGAGATTGAAACGTTTGAATTTTGTGAATGTGTGTCTTTTTACGGTTCCATAAATGTGGCAAGCGCAGGTTCATACAGAAAAAAATTATATTGGTTTCATGACATTCTAATGTCTAATTAAGCGGTTGTAAATGTCTGATTCATATAGTTAATTATTATTATATCTAGACTGGGTCTTCACTCTTAAGTCTGAATACTGAATGGCACCCAAATATAAGAGGCAATCATATCAACCTCAGAACCAAAAAATATATGAAAATATAGCATCACGTAGTTTTACTTATCAATCAATACTGCTGGTTAAAAAATTAAATTAACTCATTTCTCTGAAACCACTTTATAAATAACCACATTTAGCCTTGTTACTTATTGCCCTTCAATGTGGCAGATTGTACTCTTTACTGTTCAATAAAAAATAATAAAAAAAATTATAAATAATAAGCATTGTACGGTTCATGTGGTGCAAACAATTTATATTGGGTGGAGATCATTCGCATAATTTCATTTACAATCATAATAAAACTAAATATTAGAAACGGAACCATAAATAATCAGTTTATTTTAGGCCCGGTAGAAAAAGATATAGTTATTTTCTAAATAACATGTGTAACCTTAAAAGAAGATGTACAACTCCTAAAACTTCAGCACTGATCTCTTTGTAGAAAATTTACAGTGCATGAATGTGGTTCTAAGTTTGACTGTTTCTTTTCTTTTCTTCCAATATTTACAAGAGGGTTTCTTCGGGGAAAGATATGACGTTAGGTTCCAGTATGACCTAAGAGTGACAATAGATATTACGATAGCCTTCGGCAATAGCGTCGAGAGACGAACCAGCAATAAAATACCGAGCTAGGTTACCCCCCACGGTGGTGGAGAGGTCACGTTTCACAAGAAGGATCTGTCCCCGGATCTGTGGCACGCCTGTCCTCGCTCCTCCCGGCTCCTCCTACACCGCCGAAGAGCTCTTGTACTCCTGATGGACTCCGCGGTGTCGTGGGCTGTCCCCTTGTAGTCCTTTAGATCGGATCTCTCCTCAGATTTATTTCATTGTATTCCGATTACATATTCCACTTCGCCAAGTAAGGAACCGTTACGTTGCCGAACGCTACATTCATTCATGATCTGTGTGCTTTGTATACATTATTTTTTTTATCCGAAACGCAAAGCAAGCAAATGTGCACTGCCCTTAAAAAGGGTTTACATTATTACAATTATTCGAGAATATTATTTAACCTATTATTATTATACTAGATATATACTGCTCTCTAAACGTAAAAAAAACTAACTTTAAAAGAAATAAAGTTTCATCAGAATTGTTTCTAAACCAAATATAAATATATACCATAAATCCTTTACAATGTCGTCGTCTAATTGACAATCCTTACAATTTATACCAGCAGTGTATTTAGATGATGTTTAATATTTCATATTAATACTAATGTAAAATTCTGTTATAATTTATTAATGCTCTAGAATCGTAGACTTAAAGCTCCAATGCGAATAATACCTGTGATTGAAACACTGATAGTAAGAAATATCTCAACCATATAATTGTATACAAAAATGTGGTATTCCATAACTAATGGTGACAAACAAAAAAAAAAGAAAAAAAAAAAAGCAGGATAAATTTCGTAACTCTATGGCTTAGAAAGTAATTTGTTAAAATAGATAACCGCGAAAACTACAACTAAAAATTTGATCAGCCAAACTGAAAACAAAAAAATGAAAAATATAAAAAAAAAAATTAAAGAACTAAATAAATTACTAGTGAATTTCATAAGAAACCTACCCAATTGCTATCTATTCGTGCTATACAAAGCAATACCTCTTAAATTTATATTAGAACCATAAAAAGAGTGAATTCAACACTGTTTTGGGTAACATTATTTTCTTAAATTAAGAATTAAGATTGATAATTTCCAAAAAAAAAAAAAACCTTTTCAGTTTTATAGAAAGGCGGTTTCTAAATAAACTACTCCATATTTTTTATGTAATAAAAAAAATTCTAGAGTTGGGTTCTATCTATTTATTTTTATAAAGGAAGGCGATGGTCCGGTCATTAATCACTAGTTCCGGTCATTATTCACTAGTTCCAGTTCTAAGTGAAACTCCTAGCTGAATACACCTCCCTGAAGAAGACCTGCAAAGTCGGTATGAAACGTTGATCTTTAATAAAAATAGTTTTACCACTATTTAGCCTATTTATGACCGCCACCCCGGACCATCTCCTTCCTTTATAATGCAACCGTCAACAATTAAATATTCATTATAAATAATGATAAGGATTGAGAATACATTTACATTAAATAAATAACTGAGCTTGTTAATGCAATAAAATACTTTCAAACTAAACATACCTTCATGGCCTCCTATATCATATCTCTAATAGAGATTATATTATATAAAAATTTAAATTTAAACATTTACACATATTAAATTACACATATATAAAATTACACATGTTTAGTTAAGTGTTTCGACCACTAGGATTATTTACACTGTTGACTCCTTAGTCTCTTGCGGTTCAATATATTTTCGCGATTTTTAAAAATTCAATAAGTCTTGAATTAGTTTTTGGGTCATGTTTCAATATTTGTCTTTGGTCTGTAAAAAATCTGTATGAGTTATGAGCAATACACTCCAATAATATGTGTGGTATAAAGAATTAAATGGCATTTGTTTTTGCTCTGGAGTTATGTTACAACCTAGGGTAAAATTTCCGCGTTTCGTGGTATCCATTATTTTTTTTTGACATACAGTGGCCTAACAAAAAAAAAAAAAGATTTCTTGTGAAGCCCTTTGGCTAATGGTATTCGGGTGATTAAAATTTTGCTCCGTGAAGTATATTTCAAATTCAAAAATTATTTTTTCAACATATTTATCTCATAATTGAATATAAACATAATAGAAGGACATCCCGAAAACTAATTAAGTAAAAAATATATCCTTTTATGTTCCACTCTTTGGCTGGTTAATAAAATTGTTATTCTTTAGTTAGAGTATATATATATATATATATAGAGAGAGAGAGAGAGAGAGTATATATATCGTACAGTTGAATGTATTAAGGCCTTTTTAGTGAAGCCTTGTCGTTATAAAAATATTCTGATTTATCGATACAAGGAATCCCTTGTGAATAAAATGACAAGGAATAAATGAAGAATATTAAACATAACATATGATTAATCTACAGGTCAGGTGCTGTTGAGTCTGCGCCTGCCGCTGCCAAAACTGTTGATCAGCAACGATGATATTATTCAACAATCTTGTGTTATATTTCTTCACCTCCCGTTCGGAATATTGTAAATTACACTTATTTTTCTAGTTATAATGGGAGGATGAAACCTCCGGCCCGGTATATATTCGTCTCCTGTCATAGTTTTTTTTTTTAGCACTTATAAATAGGAATGCCTAGATTGATTTTTCCTCGAGCTTATTAGAATAATATGACCAATTAAATTAGTAGATAAGATTTATTCGTACAATGAATAAATTTGATCTATACCTTGATAAGACTGAAATCAAAAGGAAAGTTGAGTTTTGTAGTCTTTGTAATTGTAGAAATGTATTTGTTCTATACGTGGTTCGACAATCTACAAGGTCTCCTATCCATGAAAAGCCTATACTAAGAGAATCTATAAAAATATATATATTAACTTCTATTTTAACTGTACTATATATGTAAAAAGATTAAATAAACATTTTTGGGAGTTAGAAAAAAAAAATCTACTCTAACTGAACAATTTTACAAAAATTAATTGATTACAATTTAAGCGAAAATTATTATAGATTTTAAATAGTTCCGGAACTTCCAATATTTATGCTGAATTGGCAGTTAGATATATCTTCTGTTTACTGCGAAAATTCATCAAGTATCATTTTAATGAATTAGAGATAATCGGATTCGAAGTTTCTGATTCATTAAATAAAATACTAAAATAGCAACTTGATTATTTATGTTTTGTTATTTGTAATTCTAATTACGTATTCCATTTCTGACAATTAACTAAATTATTTAACGTAGGCATAACAATGTATAAAAATGAAGCCATGACGAACATAGTGACTCTTTGCAGACTATCATAGGTAAACAAAACACTTACTTTTACAACCTTGAAAGTACATGTGAGTCAGATATACCTCCCTTAATTAGTTTTATTAACCGTTTGATCAACTAATACAGTAAAAGATTTACTTGTGTACGAGATAGTGAATTTTAGCTTTCTACTTTAATATTATTTAGAGAACAAGTAATTCATTAAGTAACTTGATGACTTTTTGCTCTTTATTGTCAGAGCATAGCGCGCACATGGTGAAACTATTATTTACATAAAAACGGATTGGTATTATTTGTATGCAGTTAATAAGTTATTCTGGTGGTTTGACAGACTTTTATAAATTATGTTTATTTTTTTAAGTAAGTTGTTGAAATATATTCAGAATCAATCACCAACTTTTTCTTTTGTTCTGAAGGAACTTATTCAAACCGTGATACAATTTTTAAATATTTTTACTCAAAGAGCATATTTTACAACCACTGCAACTATAACTTCTATTCTGTTACTATTTTTCAACACTAATAAAATTTTCAAAATAAAAAAAAATTCAATTGAAAATTTCTAATCATAAATATTTAATTACACGAACATTTAAATATAATTATTATTATACGACTGCCATTAAAAGATTATAATGTTAAAATTAGAAAATATTACTATAGTTTTACTTCTGATTTAGGATGATATGGTGATACAATAGAATAGGAATATAATTCCAATTCTCAATCGTAACAATTAATGTATTATCGGCTAACCCGGATAACGCACCTGCGCAGAAGAAAGAAATTATATGAGTAAGGAGCGCTTCTACAGGAGCTAACGTGGAATTCTTCAGGTTACGGTGCATGGACCCTATAAAGTACATATAGTGACCGGTAAATCAGACTTAACCGGTATAAAAGTCTGCCTGGATTCTATACGCATTAAAGCCTGGCGGTGTAAATAAGCTTCATGACGCGATATAAAACGGCTATTCTTCTATTTATCAACCCGTTCTCCTGTTTCTTCTCCTTGGATTGTTTAGCCCATGTTTACTGCTTTCCATTTTCGATGCCACGGTATAATTACTATACAACGATTTGTAGCTATGAAGTACTCCCATTATTGAATGTAGAAAAGGAATATTGTAGATCAAACTATTTATAAAGGAGACTGAAATCTTTATTAAAAATTGTATTAAATATTTTTCAGGATTTTAAATAAACCTCCAAACTTCCACAAAAACAATTTTATTTATTACTTTGTCTACGCTTCGGACGCTTGAAAAAATCAAATGTTAATAAAAATATCCGTTACCCTGAAAAAATATATCGTCATAATTTTAAAAATCATCAATAATTTACTATACTATTCGTGTTTTCTCCACATTACTTAATTATTTAAAACGAAATATTGAATGAAATATAAAAATGAAAAAAAAAAAAAATAAAGGCGACTTTTTTTTATTGCCTAGAGCTTTATTTGTTTTTTTTAAATAATAATTTCATTGAGTATTAATACAGTCTGATACACTGAAGGGTATTGATATTAGGGCTAGTATTCATTCACACAGTATGTACATAAGAAAGGAAAATAAATATAAATAACTAAAGTATAAAAAAAATATAGATAAATAAAAAGATAAAGTAATATAAAAGATAAATAAAATAACAGATTAAAACCGAATGATAATAAAATAAATAAAACACATTCACAGCTATGTACCATATTCAAATTGGCCCAGGGGAATCTGAATCAAGCTTTGTACCCCATGTGTGGAAACCAAAGCAGGACTCCAGGAGATCCCAATGCTTCTCTCCGAGCAGCGTCTTTAGTATTGGTAGCCAGTGGAGTCTGATGGACGGCACTAGAGCAACAGATGCTCAGGACTTGAGTGAAGTATCTGGCCAGTGCCAGTACTCCAATATATACATATTTACAAAAGGTCGCGGGGCCAATGCCGTTTAACCTACGAGGAGGATTGTAGGGATAGCTGGAGCTAGATAGAGATTGTGCTACAGGATTAGGATGATGAGAGAGGTTCTGTTGAGCTTTGGAAAAATAGTCTGGGATTAAGTCAAGAACTAATGGGATATTAAGGTTATTATGTAGGGTTTTATTGTTTACATCATCGACTATTGTTCGAAAAACTTTAGACTGGAAGGATTGAATGCTTTTGATGTTAAAAAGTTTTGCTGTTCCCCACAGTTCGAGTCCGTAGGCCCAGATAGGTTTCAGGATTGTCTTGTAGATTAATAGTTTGTTCTCAACTGAAAGTTAGATAGAAACTGAGATTTTCTATTGATTAGTCTATATAGTTCACCATATCGTCGATTAAGCTCTTGTATTTTTAAGTCCGGCATGTGGGTTTCATGTTAGTCTTTTGTCCAGAAGGAAGTCAAAATACCGAACTGTGTCGGAGAGGGGAAGTATGGAGCTGAAATTAACTGGTAGACAGGACTTGAGCTTTAGTTAAATTTCTGAAAAACATTTAATAGAATATACTCGTTTATGATAGTCTTCAATGCGATTAATAATTTTATCCATTAGAAATTTATTTTAGCAAATAGAATTATCTTGTATACTCGTATATGTATATATATCGATAAACGCAGTTTAAAAACCAATATGTATGAGAATTGGTTTTCAATTAAGGGAATAACGAAATATGATAGAAGCTAATTTTTTCCCAAATCACAAAAATAATCGCTTTATGGTAGTTTTTATTAACTTTAATAGGTAATACCTATTTGAAAGTATAAATTTGTGTGTAAATTATAATATTCATCACTTCATAAATGGGACCAAATATGTTTAATTGATAATCAAAAAACTTAATTAACTTTTGTTAATTAAAAAAAATCCTGTGATTGTACAAATTAATTTCATATTCATTAAATATATATGTACAAAAGCGTGAAGAAAAACTACAATTTAATTTTTTATATATTGGTGCGATTTAATTTAGATATTTTCTAAAACTCAATTAAGAGATTCGTAATTTTCAAACATTGTAAGAACCATACGGTCCTTAGTTTATTTTAAATTAATTTATTTATAATATCTCAATAGTTTTTTTGTTTTGTTTTTCTCTTGAAGTATGTATCCCCAACTGATATTGACAATCCGCAGATGTGATGTGAATAAATTAAATAAGGATCAACAGTTAAACTATATTATTGTTAGTTAATTTAATGTTTAAAAATTAGTTTTGGGTAAAAATGTCTATAAACCTTTTTTTTTTATCATTATACGGTATGAATAAGAGAGCAACATAGGTTTCGAAACGTTACCAATGTATAGTTTTATGTTTATTGACAGAACGAACCTCAATATTGAAAATACATGTTAACATTCAATAAAAGAATATAAAATATATAGTATGGAGTATATATATATATATATATATATATATATATATATATATATATATATATATATATATATATATATATATATATAGAATTTATATACTAAGAAAATGTGACCCTCAACGAATTATCATAACCAGGTTCAAATGTTTCCAGATGTCACTTTCCTTATACAAAATCCTTTATTTGTCTGAGGAAGACTCCGATAACCCCGCCCTTATCTTCGAGACTGATTTCCATTGATCGTGGGTCGAAGCGTAATTGCGTCTTAATCGGTTGTGATTGTCACAGTAACGATAACATTTATAGGAGATGACGTTCTTGAAGGTTATTTATAAATAACAACAAAAGGTAAAATAAAAATAATTTTGGATTTTATTCCGTTTTCTTTCCGGCGAGTCTAACCATATCTACTTCAACATGAAATGGAATATTCGTAATTAAGTAATTTAGAGAGAAAATACATATTTTTGAATTGAAAACTTCTTTAGGTGCGCTAGGAACTTCATTTTGTGGGTATAAATGAGACTGAGCCATCATCCTATGTAACGCTCATTCGGGTAAAGTCGACTAATTTTTTCATTTGAGTTAAAATATCTTAGGGACTTCAAGCCGGACCCGCAAACATTATGCGAGCGAAAATTCGGACCTACATACTGTAAGCGAGAGAAATAGTCAGTATTTTATCCTCTTTGTAAAGAGCTATAACTCAATTGTATTTTGACATGACACTGAGTAAGAGAGTCGGGAAAGATAAAAAATAGCGCAAATAAAAAACCCAAATCACGACTGTTTTGAACATTTTGACTAAAATGTCTCAAAATTTAAATGCTATGGAAAATT